GTAATATTTTATTGTCGATCTTTTTAATAAAAGTTAGCTAGTAGACACCTTTATTTGATAACGTTTGGGGAGATAGTCCTTCAACAGCTATTCCTCGACCATTAAGAACAGCTCAACAACTGTCAACATCTAATGTCGATCCATGGAATATTAGCGAACCTATGCTACCTACTATACAACCAACTTCTCGTGTAGAAGATGTAAATTTTTAAAATCATTTTTCTTAACTCATAAATAATGATTAACTTTATTTTCAGTCTCTTGCTAATGTATTCAATGTACATACATCGTCATCAACAGTGACTAAAACTACTCAACAATCAGGATCTGCCATAGATACTGATGATTTATTTTTAGTGTTTACTACGAGTGCACCAACGCCTACAGTTAATACCAACGTGTTTGCTCAACCAACTCAACAAACACCTTTTGTTTCTCAACAAACACCTTTTGTTCCTCAACAAGCACCTTTTTTTCCTCAACAAGCACCTTTTGTTCCTCAACAACAGTTGAATTTTCAAGGTTCGACATCTCTTACACCTAGTTCTCCATCAATAGCAACAAATCCATTTGGTGATTTTTCTTCAAAATCACCGACAGCTAAAGCAGTGCTTTTTACCTCTAATGTCACTAACTAGATCAAATGAACATATGCAACAGTAAGTAAATGAAAATATTTCGATATTTTCAAATTAAAATCTTAAATTTTTATCATTTCAGTTGTAAACAAAGGCAAATATCAATGACCAAACAATTTTTGTTGTCTATCGTCGATTTTTGTCTTTGTAAAAGTTATTCATCGTAATTCAGTATCTTTGTTTTCTATCGAGTAGTTAATATTCATAATCTTGAATATTAAAATTGTGATAATATATAAACAGATAGATGCTAAACAAGAACTAATAAACGAATTTTAGTAAAATTATTGTCTTCTTTTGTTGTTAAAAATATGATTTATTTTTTTATTTTAACATTCTTTCAAAATATTTATTTATTATATATTTCTCTACAATTATCACTATTACAAAAAGAGACTTGAAAAAAACTGAAGGAAATCGTTTTCTGCGAAAAACACATCATTTTTCAAAGTATTAGGAAATTTTCTATTTTAATCCTTTTTTAATTCATTGATCATGATGTCGTTTGTCAAGCATCAGCATTTAATCTGGGTTGTCATAATGATTATCGAGTTAAAATTTGTACTATTATGAATGATAATTATCTTTATACAATTCATCATAAACTGGAACATATCGAATATTATATATCATATGATAAACAAACATATTTTTTGATCAAAATGATACTAATTCTGGTTTTCATAAAGCTATTCAAGATACAATTGGCATGTATGCAAGCGATTTTTTTTCTATTTATTTTCTACATCAGAAGTTCTCTGATTAGTTTTATCATCACATTTATTAAAATTAAGTTTTATGGATGACGTAACTATAACTTCATATTATGAAAATCAATTCTTTAATGCATATAGCTTTACAAAAATAGATGTGCTATCATTTGCTTATGTTATTGATAAATATCATTTTGCTCTATTTCGTCATCATATAAATCATCATGATGAACTCAATTCAAAATGATGAATATTATGTAGTCAATATGATGGAATCATGACACCAATGTTATGAAACCATTAAGAAAATTCCGATTGAGATGCAAAATATCATATGTGAACAAATACGCTTTATCCAAGATATTTTATTTATCTATGAAATCGAAAGAGAAATGACCTCAGAATATCGTTTTCGAACACCTTCATCGAGAACTTGTTTGATTAGTCAGATGCTCAACAATTCGAAAGTTATTGAAAACATATTGATCTGCCTTATATTTTGACGTGAATAATAGCAATAGTACTTTGCAATTAGATAGACCATGTTTATTCATGGTTTTTGTCTAGTTTATCCTTGTTTCTTGGTGTAATCTCGTCAGTTGAATCTGAACATTATCATTTTTCTACAAGCAAAATCACTACTGAATAGTATTCTAACTATTAAATCCATTAAAGTTTCATTTAATTAATAAACTAGACTTTTTCTCTGTGAGAATTATTATTTATTATATTTAGAGTAAATTTCCGAAAACAAAAATTAATCAATTATTATATTAATCGATTTATTTTATATATTATTCGAAACTATTCAAAAATAAAAATGGACGGAAAAGAAAGCTGAGATTAATGGAAATAAAATTCAAATATTTGCTTTATCTTTAACTTGATTTTCTAGATCATTAATCATAAAAGTAATTGGATCAGCTGGTCGATTAAGTACAATTTTTGTTGTCAATGCCTATCAAAATATGAAAATTAATAAATAAATATTTAAACTCAAAAATAAAATTCTACTTTAAGTAAATCATATAATCCATGTCGCATCATATATTTATCAGCTAGAATACTTGGATCTTCATTTTGTATTGTTTTTTGTAAAATAGTATCAATCTCTTCATCGGTTGCTTCTTGTTGTTCTCCATTTGTATTTAAAGTTATTAAACCGAGCATTTGTAAACGTTTACATTGTTCAGGATGTAAATTATTTATATCAAGTTTTTCTTTTTTTGATTCAATAAAACGATCATTATGTAAAGATTTTACATTTGACCATTCAGTTTTCTGTTCATCTGACATTTCAAAATCTAAAATAGCATAACGTCTAATAAAATCAATACTAAAAAATGAAAGAGAAATTTGATATTTTGTTTTATTTAAAAAAGAAATAGGTTTTATTAATTAACCAGGTGGCCAGTCGAGTTGTCTGCCACCGAGGACATGAATATGAAGATGATAAACACTTTGACATGCATTTCGTCCATTATTAATAACTAAACGATAACCATCATCAGCTAGACCTTGTTTTTTAGCAACTTGTGCAGCAACAATTAACAAATGACCAAGTAACTAAACAAAAAAATAAAATAAAACAATCATTTGAAATGAAATCAAAGAATATCGTGTACTTTTTCATTTGATGATGTACAAGCTGATAATTGTGGGATAGGTTCTTTTGGAATAACTAAAAAATGTGTTGGTGCTTGTTTATTAACATCATGAAATGCTACACACTAAATTTAAAATATTGTTAATTTGATTTTACTTTTACAAAAGAAAAATAAAACCTGATCATCTTCATGAAGTAAATCAACTTTAATTTCTTTTCGCGCAATTTTTCCAAAGATTGTATCTTCTATTGGTTTAGCTGTTTGCGCTTTAACTACTTCATCTGATATTGATTTTTTTGCTGAACAATCTGAAATAGTTCAGTTTTCTATTAATATAGGTTTAATTAATAGATAAACTTACAAGGAGTTGATAATGAAAAATATGCATATGAACTATAACGATGTACAGTTGCTACTGAAGCTAAACTTAAAAGACTTCGTATGACAGTTGACATTTAGAGAAAAATTTTTCTACAACACAAACAATTTAAATATAGTTCATGATCAATATAGAGAGAAAACTTTATTTATTCGAAAGAATAAGCCGACAAAAAAAATCAAAATGTTTAAACAGATGATTGACGATAATTTTTTGTTTGTAAAACTTTTACACCACACATTGTGCAGATACCCAATTTATAAGCACAACCTAAACAAAAAACAAAAATTAATCAAGGAAAATTAATAGAATTAAAGACAAACCTTGACAATAAGTACTTCCTGGTTGATGAATTGTACCTTTACAAACTTTACATTTACTAAATTTTGTTGTATATGGACTGTATCTTAAATAAAAATTAATCTTATTCAATTTAAAAAAACAACTTAAAGAACAAACCGAGTCGATTTTCCGGATAATAATTTATTTTCATTTAATTTTCTACCACCACTTTCTACGAAAGAAATATTAAAATAAAAATTAAGAAGAAGAAATAAATCTACAATTCATACCAACTGTATTACGAGAACCACCTATAAAGAATAAATTTATTTTCAAAAAAATTCTTTAAAATATATAAACATACTTTTCCATACTTCTTGTGTTGCAACAGTACCTATTTTTTTCTTACCTAAAATAAATCATTGTTTTCTTTTTCTTTTTTAATTTTATCTAAAAAACTTACAATTATCACAAACCATAATGATTTATTTATTTTTTTATTATTATTATCTAGAACAAAAGAAATACATATATATATATTTATATTGATAAATCTTTCTAATCAGCTAATGGATTCGCATGTATAGTAACACGTTCTATCCGAACATCGGTTTCTGGCCGATAATTTTTTTCATTAACTGGTAATTTTTCTAATTCATCAAGTGTTTCAAAGCCATCAATAACTTTACCAAATACAGTATATTTTCCATCAAGATTTGATTGTTTTCCATATGTAATAAAAAATTGTGAACCATTTGTATTTGCACCTCGACTTGCCATAGAAACAATACCACGTTGACTATGCTAAATAAATTTTTATTAAATGTAAACAAAAAATTGAAAACGAAATAAGAATTAAAATTTTACTTTTAAATTTTGATTGATTTCATCCTAAGTAGAGAAAAATTGGTAGATACATAAAAAAAAATTGCAAATTAATAATATTTACTGGAAAATATTCACCCCAAATACTTTGACCACATTTACCCGTTCCAGATGGATCACCAGTTTGAATCATATAACCTTTAACATTTCGATGAAAAAGACAATTATCATAATAATTACTTGCACATAAAGCTAGGAAATTCTAAATTTATTTTAATATAATAAGATATTTTGTTTATTTATTTTTTGAATGACTTACTTCACATGCTTTTGGACATTGATCACAATAAAGTTCAATTTTAATATCACCTAAATCAGTATGTAAGGTAACTGACATCTACAAAGCAAGAAAATCAAGAATCATAAAATAATCTTTTAGATTTTAGAGAAAACAAAACGAATTTCTGTATGCTCATCATCTAGCGTGAATAGACCAAAAAAAAAACACTATTTTACAACAATTTTACATCATATTCTATTGTTCATGTTAATTCTGGATCTGTATTAATAGATATTGCATTATGTTCTATTTCATCTTTTTTCTGTCGACGATATTCACAGTGAAAAAATGAAACAAAACAAATAACAAGAATAACCGAAATTACAGCCAAGATATATACAGGAACTAAAACAAAAACAAAAAAGAAGTTTGAAAAATCTTCAAATAAAATATATATTCAAATACTAGAATAATCTCGAATATCATTAACTTTCATATCTTCAGCTTCACATTGTTGAATACTCATTTGATGAGCCGATGGTGAACGTGTAAAGCTTGGTAAAATAATAATAGCAATAATGCTTCCCAATTGACTAAATAAAATTAAAATCTTTTATTTACACAAATATTAACAATAGATTTCCTTATGGCTTACCTAGCAACCAAAAAAATACCCGAAACAGTAGCTTCTGGTACTGGATGAGTTCTAAAATAATTGATAACTATATCATTTCATAAAAGTCAAAATATAGATACACCTACGTTTCAATACTTAGATCCAGACTTAATGGAAGTACCGGTGCATTAGTTAAACCAGCTATTGCAAAAACAATATAAAGCCCATAAGATTTTACTTCATTGATGATGAACTACTTGTCAATAAAAAATTTTATAAATTAATTTTTAATATTCTCTACGTACCAAACCAATACAAATTAGTGAAATAACTCCAAAAGAATATAAAATCTTTGTTAATTCTTCCAATTTTTTTGTTTTATCTGCTATAATTCCCATAACAATACATCCAATAAGACCAAATATAATAAAACAACCAATACATAAACCTACAGCAATATCATTATAACCAAATGGACACATTATTTGTTGTAATAATGTTGAAAGTGTATTATTATTTGATAAACCAAATCCGACAGTAAAAAACAAAATTAAATAAGATTTTGATGTTAAAAGCTGAATATAAAAATCAACAAAAATATTTCATTATTTTCTTTTTTCTCAATAAAATAAAACAAAACTAAATCATACTTTTTTAAAAACAAATTTATATGGACTTTTTACATCAAGTGAAGATAAACATGATGGTGTTGGTGGTTGTGATGATCGAACAGTTAATGATAAAACTGCTGCAAGAAAAGCTGGTATCAACGATAGATAAAGCTAAATAAAATCAATTTAAACAAAACAAAAAACACTAAAATTAAAATGGACTACAAAAGTTAAGACATTTTTTTTTTACTTCGATATTTTCTATCAAAAGAAAGCAGATAAAAGACATGGTATATAAAATTACAGTCACGATCTACATAAACCATATACTCTTGATCTAATTGATTGTAACGTGCAGAAAAAGAACAATTTTTTTTCTAGTAGGTTAAAATTTAAGATACTTTTAGTATTTTGGTGATTATATCATTATCGAAAATAGAGAGACAATTTTCAAACATATATCATTAGATGCAGAATTGGACGGGCTATATTTTTGTATGAAAAACTTATTAAATTATTACAAGTAATAATTTAAATTTATTAATTACTAATTAGAAAAGTATTTTGTTAGAAATTTGGATCTTCAAGTATACTGTTAGGAAAAGCATTGACAACTGAATAACGCTGTACTTTTATTTTGCAATAATTCTTTATAATAGGGTTTGTTTAAATATTGATTAAAATTAAATTAATAATTATAAGAAAAGTGATCTCTAAACATAGACATGAGAACTTTAAAAAATAGTGCATTTTATAAAGCAGATTTTGTTTACAGTGTTGAAGATCTAAATTTATGACAAAAAAAAATTTCTCGAGTAGGTAATTAATAGTATTAAATTATTATAACTATAGTCCTTTGGTTTCAAAGTTAGGTCGACGAATGGTCTGTTTAATCATTTCTCCTGAAATGAATTTTTATTATTTGACCATCATACTTGAATATTTGCTAGAGAACATTATAGATTACATAATGGTATTATATGAGAAACAACAGATCATCGAACTGGATTAAAGAAAAGTTTCAAAGATAATATGTGTGCAAAAAAAATGTGACATATAAAGCCTTTCAAATTTATATATTTCACATAGAAGACAACGAGTTTATACAGAAAAGTAATATTTTTAATGTCTATCAAACACTCAAAGCATCAAGTTCACAAATGTTGCTTTCGATATTTGTATTTAATAAAAGTGATTCAATATTATCATGGTCTTCTTTTTTGTCGACTTCTCCATACTTCTTTATATTCTTAATATGATCTATAAGTTCCTTAACATCATCACTAGTAAACATTTAATTTGTAAATCAATCTTCATTTTTATAATTATACGAATAAAAACAATTAATTAAATTGCTACTGGCAAATAATAGTTAAATATTGAAACAAGAAAAATATAAATACGTAATAGTGATATGGAAAAAAAAGTCAAGATAAGACAAGTGTCATGAATGCATAAGTCATTACTTCTATTCATTGATAACTGTTGCCTTTGAAAATAAGACTAATTCTAACGGCTCGTGTCTTCTATATGACCATAGAGTCATAACACATAATGAATATCTTTTACTGAATACAAAAACAAACAGAGAAAAGCAAATAACATCAAAATTTCAATCGAAATTTGAGACCAAAGGACTATAATAATTCTTCAACATACTTTTACACTAAAATGTATCCTATTGAATTCTCTATCTAATGATATATTTTTGAAAATTGTCTCTATTTTTGCATAACGATATAATCGCTAAAATACTAAAAGTATCTTAAACATTTACCTACTAGAGAAAAATCAAAATATCGTTTTTTTTTGTTTTTCATGCTATAACCAATTCGATCTAGAACAGATGATTTATGTAGATTTTGACTATAACTTTATAGATCAATCAAAATTCTCGTAGAAAACACCGAAGTAAACGATGTTTTAAACTTTTGCAGCTCATTTTAAATAGAAAATATTCACTAATAAAGGTATTTTATCTTCATGTGAAACAATAATTGGTGGTAGAACAGTTCCAACAAAAACACCAAAAAAATTAGCTAAAAAAAAATAAGAAGTTTATAAATAATAATTTAAATCTTATAATTTTGGTTTTTTTCTTACCTGCAAAACAAAGACTAGTAGCTAATGTTCGTTGACTTTCTGGAAACCACGAAAAAGAAAATTTAGCTGGAATAAATAATGTAAATGTTTGTGCAAATGCACAAATAAATTGTCCTATTTTAATTAAAATTATTATTAAAAAAAGAAAATCACCAAACAATATGTATGAAAAAAAAAGATTTACTTACCAATAAAAACAATTGAATATCGACTTTTAATTGATACAAATCCCCATGTACTTATGACACGAAAACATGCACCAGTTAAGTTTAACCAAACACCAGTTAAAATCTTCAAAAAAAAAAACTCTCACTTTTTATTTTAATTTCTTTTTTGTTTTTAAAGATTTACTCCAAATC